TCTGGAATGTTTGGGACATGCTTAGGCAAAATAATGATGATGATGATGATAATAATAATAATAATAATCATAATATATACCTTTATTCAGATCTCATATAAGAGCTCAAATTAATCACAGACTTAAATGTGAAGTGTACTATTATAGAATCTCGAGGAAAAAAGTGGGGAAACTTTCAAAATCGAGGCCCATACAAAGAAGTTGGACTAGACTTGACAAACATAAGAGTAACTGTTGAGGGTATCAGATTCTACAGTGGGCAAGTCACTTGCCTTGCGTGCAGGCAGCCTGTTTAATATCCAAACAGATGGTCACCCATGCACCTGCCAGTAGCGATTTCTGAGCACAGAGTCAAGAGGTAAGTTCTGAGGAGATATTATTATTTGGATTGTGTCAGATTTAGAAACTTGTTTTACAAAGGAAGCTATTAATAGGATGAAATGACAGATAGTGAAAACTATTAGTAATCCACATACCCAGAAAGAACTAGTTTTAGAGTTTAATTTCTAGAATATATATTTTTTTCTTTTATTAGTGAAACACCATGAGGTACAGTTGTAGATTTACAATTTTTGTGCTTGGGTTTCGATTATACAATGCTCAGATACCCATCCCTCCACCAGTGCCCATTTTCCACCACCATGGATAATATTCCCCTCACCCCCATCCCCCCATCCCCCCCTGCCTCTGTGGCAGGGCAATTCCCTGTGTTCTCTCTCTCCTTTTGGGTGTTGTGGTCTGCAAAAGAGGCATTGAGTGGCAAACATGTTCAGTCCATAGTCTACTTTCGACATGCCTCTCCCCTCCTGGGAGGATCCTCCAAACACCCTTTATTTGGTGCTCCCTTAGAATATATTTAAAAGAGCTTTTAAAAGAGCATTTAAAAGAGCTTAAAAAAAAACTCAGCAGTTAATCAAATGGCCCATTTTAGGAAGTGGGCTAAAGACATGAAGAAAGATTTCACCAAAGATAGTGTAAAAGTGGCTGCCAGGCACATGAAAACTTATAAAGCACATGTGGTTGTATGTGTGAGGCCCTGGGTTTGATTGCTGGCAGTGAGTGGCTCTTTGAATACTGATAAACATGGCCCTAGTGGCCCCTGAGCATCACTGGACCTGAGCAGTGCTGGTGTAAATTGCACAACAATTAAAAAAGATGCTCAGAATCTTTAGCTGTTTAAGAAACGAGTGACTTATACACCTGTCAGAATAATTTAAAAAAAGTGAAAACACCAAATGCTGGTGAGGATGGAGACAGACTGTTACTTACTCATACAGTACTGGCAGGGATATAAAACAAGGCAGCATTCTGCAGAACAGTTTCATGGTATCTTTTTAAAAATTTAACTTGACAGTTAGCTTAATCACCCAGAAATTGCTCTCTTGGGCATTTATCCCACAGAAGTGAAGATTTAAATTCACATAAAATCCTGAATGGAATAATTACAGCAACTTTGTTCATAACATTCCCCAAATGATAATTAAAGCCTTTTAGTTAGTAAATGGTTAAACTGGTGCATTCATGCCATGAAGTATTCTAAATCAAGCAAAGGAAGTGTAATAACCTGCATTAATCTCCCAAGAATTGATGGGTGGGGGTGGGGTGGGGGCGGGGTTACTGTAAAGTTACAAGCTGAAAATTCACTTTATAAAAAGTTCTTGAAATTAACAGAATTGTAGAACAGGTTGAGAGTTCCTAGGAAATTAAAGGGAGTTGTCGAAGGAAGTTGTGATAGAAGGCAATCTCTTAAGGGAATCAATCATGTAGTGCAGTGAAGATTCTTGTAGTGTTGGGAATTTTCTGCAACTTCCCTGTGTCATTGTTAGTATCCTGTGAGGGATTGTACTGCTATTTGCCACGATGTTAGCTACCGGGGGAACCTGAGCAAAGGGTAAGATCTGTTATTATGATTGCATGGGTAAAGGTAAAGGTAAAGGCCCGCCCGTTGATCATCGATTTGCTCGAGCGGGCCCAGTAACGTCTCCATTGGAGACTTTGTTGTTACTGTGTCTGGCATATCGAATACTCTCAGTAGCTTGCCGGGCTCTCCGAGAGGGGCGGAGGAATCGAACTCGGGTCGGCCATGTTGGCTGCGTGCAAGGCAGACGCCCTACCCGCTGTGCTATGTGGAGACTTGCCCACACTAAGAAGCAGTTCGTTCTTGAACATCAGCAGTGTTGACACTAGGGTGATAGCAGAAGATTCCAGGGTTAAAGGAATCAGTCTTCCAAGTCTCTGTAGCTGCAAGTTATAAGCCCAAGAGCTTTATTTTATTTTATTTTTTTCCCTTTATTTTATTTTATTTTTTTTTACAGTGGTAAATTTATAATTTTTTGTGCTTTGGTTTCAATTATACAATGATCAGATACCCATCCCTCCACCAGTACCCATTTTCCACCACCATGGATAATATCCCTCCCACCCCCATCCCCCCATCCCCCCTGTCTCTGTGGCAGGGCAATCCCCTGTGTTCTCTCTCTCCTTTTGTGTGTTGTGGTCTGCAAAAGAGGCATTGAGTGGCAAACATGTTCAGTCCATAGTCTACTTTCGACATGCATCTCCCCTCCTGGGAGGATCCTCCAAACATCCTTTATTTGGTGCTCCCTTCTCTATCTGAACTGCCCTTTCCTCTAGGATACCCGGCTGGCCTCTAAGTTATGGAGTAATCCTCCTGGTGCTGATCTCAGCTATTCTTGAAGCCCAAGAGCTTTAAATCTGAGGTTTCCAGGGCATTGTACTCAGATGCGACTAGTTGCTGGAGTAGTTCATAGAATTATGCAAATATGCTTACTCCCTAGATCATTGATTTATTACTAAGACATTGTTCAGGAATAGTAGAATTTGGAAGTATAAATATCCCATTCTCCCCAAATACTCAACCTGGAAGATCTCTTTTGTTTTCCTAAACAAAAAAAAAAAAAAAGCGACATGGTCTGAGCTTTTAGAAAGGTAGTGAGTGGAGAAAGTAGTATTTACATGCAGGGCTGTGTTAGGTCCAGTTGTGGTATTTAAGTTTTGTCGTTTCAGATTACTTGAGAGACTTAATAGCTGCCAGTAAGCTTAATAGCTGCCAGTAAGTTTTTGAAGGGCTATTATATGGAACAGGCAATAGATGATTGTTTTTGAAGAAAAAATTGTAATCAGTGTTAAGGGAAGTAAATAGATTTATACTTACAGGTATGGACATGCCGTCAGATCTGTAAAGAGACAACTACATCTGTGGTGTAAAGCACACATGTCTTGATTTGTGTTCAAAGGCATATTGAACTCTATTCTGTGAACTGTAAGACTCTAGTTTTTTTGTTTTGTTTTATTTTTAAGTTTATTCGTTATTCTTTGTTTCAACTAAGCATCCTGTGGTTTCTTTCCCTGAAAAAACTAGTCCGTGATTCATTCTTGTCCTTGTCCCTCTATTTTTTTGAAGCTGTGAATGGTATTTTATCATGAACTGGTTTTCTTTTTTTTCTTTTCTTTTTTGGAATGATTTGGAATGTCTTACAAAAGCTTGCCACAACAAAAAAGGGTAATTACAAAATGTGTACATGACAACATGCTTTTTTTTTTTTTTAAGTGAAACACCATGAGGTACAGTTACAGACTTGCAAATTTTTGTGCTTGGGTTTAAAGACACTTTGCATTGTGCTCACATTCCCTTAGTGTTCCTACAGGTGCTTTGCCTCTAGCCCAAAGGGAATCTCTGGGGTAGAAGTGGAGACAGTTCGGGTGAAAACACAGCGGGGGTGGGAGTGAGGGTGGGATGGGGGCTAGGGGCAGTGAGGGAGAAAGCAGCTTTCCAGTTAAAGAAATCAGCTTCTGGTGGGCCGGCCTCAGATGAAGTCAGGGTTGAGGGAGGAGCAGCGGCAGGGTGGGGACTCTACATCTCATCCAGGTCCAGCAGAGTCTGGTCCAGCATCCTTCGTGTACAGAGGTGCTCCTCTTTGGTGCATTTCAGTCTATCTTCCAAATCATCAATTGTCTTTTCCAGCTTGGCTACCAATCTCTCAGCAAACTCAGCACGGGTCTCTGCCTCCTTGAGTTTATCAGTAAGAAATGTTTATCTCTTCTTCATATTTATCTTCTTTTTGAGAATACTTTTCCTCGCTCAGCACCACTCAGACACTTCAGGTTCTTGTCCATCAGTCTGATCTGCTCATCTCTCGGCAACGGGACTTGGCCAGCTCAGCCCATTCCTCTGTGCATTCCAAGTAGTCCTCAATAATCACCAACTTACGAGCCACCTCTTCATACTTCCCGTCTGCCTCTTCTGCAATATGCTTAGCTTCTTTGAGTTGAATTTCCTGAAGTTCCATTTTTGATTCATGTTTTAAAGCTTGGTTTTCAGTGACTTTTATTCCTCTCTCGCTCTCACCAGCTGCTTTCTCAGCTTCCTCCAGCTTTTGCAGGGCCATTGCCAGGCGCTCCTGAGCATGGTCCAATTCCTCTTCAACCAGCTGGATCCTTCGGTTCAAGGATGCCACCTCAGCCTTGGCCTGTTCCCGGGCCCGCCTTTCGCCCTCCACTTCCCGCTGCAGGTGCTTGGCCCTCTCCTCCGCGTCGTTGGCCTGCTGGTGTGGAACCTAAGGATCTTGCACTTCACTGCCTCGATGGTGTTGATCATCGATGGTGGTGATGGTCCCCCGACCCTGCTTCACTGCCTCCTCAGTCGCCTGTGCCTGCGCTCAGCGCTCCAGCCACCCCTCACTCCACTTCCTGAACGGGTTTTCTATCCCGTCTAGATTAGCAGATGATATTGCTATCTTCTATTTCTATGTAGATTCATTCCTATTTTTATTCTTTGATCATTTTACAAATTGTAGCCCTTTGTTTCAATGCCTGTCACCAGAACACAGAACAGCATCTTGTGTAGTACCTACATATAATATGCATTTTTGAATGGATGACTATCATCCTCTTGTTTTCACAAAGATTGTAAGTGGATCACAATGAGATGATTTGAAACATGCAGAAATTTCTAATTTTTTTTTCTTTTCCCTGTACAGGAATTTCGGCAGAAAGTAATGCTAGGAACTCCTTTCCTCGTTATTTGGCTGGTTGGATTTATAGCAGATCTAAATATTGATTCCTGGCTCATTAAGGGGCTAATGTATGGTGGTGTTTGGGCTACGGTACAGTTTCTTTCTAAGTAAGTGAGTTACTTTTAACCGTATATGGAAGAATATAATTTGTATCCTACATAAAATCAATGTTTTAATGTTTAGAATACTTTATATTTGATCTTCATAGGTAAAGAATTTTAGGAAATTTGTATGCCAAGTCATTTAGTTGTGTTTTTTTTTAAACATTATTAGAATTATTCTCACAGTGTATTCAGTGAAAAAGTCTGCAATGTAATTTTCAGGCTAAATATAGTTTGCAAACATTTTAATGAAGTGGACTTGAGTATGTTGAACTCTCAACATAATATGCATATCATTTATTCCCAAGTAATTGTAATACTTAAGCTAACCATTCCATAGGAATTACATTTTCTTCAGTCACATGTAGTTTTCAGAAAGAAGTTTTATAGTAGCAGAGTAGAATCTAAGCATATCATATAGGTTTGATTTTTAAATTTCTACTCCTGGGTCAGAGAGAGTATAGGAGATAAGGCGCTTGCTTGCACGTGACTGTGGCTGAAACCCTTGTTCAAAATCCAGCACCTGAGCACAGTTTGCCCAGCCTCTTCTCCTCACCCTCACTCCCACAAAAAAGATCTTTTTTATATATTTTATATTTATATATTCATATCTATCAGTATATTTATCTTCCTGGCCTTCGGTCTCGCTGGCTTAAAGCCGCCTCATGGAGCAAACCCAGGCAGGTGTCTGTGATTCAAACTGTCTCACCTCATTTCCTTTATTTTTATTTTAACCTGACATCGAGAGTTCTGAAGATGATTTACACAGAGATGAGAATACTTGTAACTACTGTAATGACTTGAATACTTGTAATACTTGTTCATTCTCAGGAAGAGTGGAAATTGAGTTTTTAGGTGTTTCCAAAGAGATTAAAAATAAGAAGTGATGGGGCCATGGAGATAGACCTCAGGGTTGGAATGCATGCCCTACTGGCCTCCAAGGGACTAGTGGTGTGATCCTGGTGGCCCCTAAGCACGACCTGGTGTGGCTCTAGCAGTACTCACTGCTAGGCAGAGGCTCACTGGGTGTGGTGATACTAGACCCCCAAGCACCTCTGGGGAGGTTGTCCCCAGGAAAAGTAGGAAGTGAGCAAAATTTTCTATTGAGCTGATGTGAGTGGTTCATCCTGCATATGTTAAATAAAAATCATTAATACTTATTTTTCATGAATTCTGAATATTGAAAATACTAACCTTTGTGTCCACTAAATTTGGATTTGTTCTATTTGAAAAGGTCTCCCCTGACTTGCTCTTCAAGTCCGTGTTCTCCCTTGAACACATTTGTCCCTATGCTCCTTTGCTGCTTGTTTCCACTCTGGAGAAGTCTGTTTTCTCTCTTGAACACGTATTTCCCCTCTTTCTCTCCTCTCTCCTAAGCAAGCTTCATTCGATAAAAGGCCCAAGGATATGACTTAGTGGCATAGAACTTGCCTTGCAGGCTTGATCATTTGCACTGCCTCACACAGAGTATGATCCTGGGGTACAGCGGAGTTAGCACACCCTGGGGAGCACTGAGACCAAGTGCTGGTGCTGCAGTCAAGTGTAATTGCATGTATTCCACCACAGCGACAGGGAGAAGGAAAATAACCCTCTCCCCTGTAGGACCCTGGAATATAATTTCTTTTCTTGCTGAATAAAAATGAGCTTTGTAAACTTGCTTAATTATTCAACTGTGAACTCATTTAGTATAGAGTATACTTACTTAGCATAAAAGCAGTATTGTTATGTAAGCATTTTAGTTGAACCATCTATGTGGAATATATGTAATTTTCATTTAAATGTTCGGTTTTACAATGAAATATACAGCTCAATACTTTAAAACTTGTGTTTTACAGATCCTTTTTTGATCATTCAATGCATAGTGCATTGCCCCTTGGAATATATTTGGCAACCAAATTCTGGATGTATGTGACGTGGTTCTTCTGGTTTTGGAATGATATCCTTTGGTTATACAGGTCACATCCAAGGCAATTTTTATTTGTTTAGACATCTGTTTGGTAATTTAGCACTCGGACCAAAATATTCACTTTAATAAAACATTATTTTGTAAATAGTGTGAACTAGTGTTAATATTGTTTTAATTTCAAGCTCAATAGATGGCTTTTTAAAATTATTTTTTTTTGTTTTTAATGGAATCACCATGAATTGCAAAGTTACAAAGTTATTTATGATTGAGTTCCAGGTGCACTATGTTCCAGCACCCATCCCTTCACCAGTGTCCCCAATTTTCCTCTCGTGTAATTCCCCACTTCTGCATCCCTCTTTCTTATAGTCACAGTGGCATACAATACATTTGTTAGTAGGATATCATGTGTGTCACTTTACCTCTTTTCAGCACCCTGTCCTCCTCCAGAGGGACCACTTCCCTGCACTATTGCATTAATTGTCCCTTCCCTGACCTACACTGCTCCCACCCACACCTGCGTGCACGCGCGCGCGCGCGCGCGCACACACACACACACACACACACACAAATACCCCTAGTGGCAAGCTGCCTAGTAAAGACTAATTCTCAATATTATTTGTTTTAATAGAGCACTTCTTAAAAAATTTATTCTTACAAAGTTGTTCATGGTTTATTACATTCAATATTCCGACACCAATCCCACCACCATTGCACCTTCCCACCACCATTATTTCCAACTTTCCCAACCACCCCTTAAGCCTGCTCCTATAGCAGGCCCTGAATAATTTATTTTGTAATTTTTGTTATAGATTATTGTTTGCTAAAAATGATCAAAAAATATTTCCTTAGAAGAAAGTATGTGAATATTATTGTATCTCACCATGAAGCTATTTAAGCCTTTGTAGAAGAGATTACTAATACGTTGTTACAGGTTAAACTTTGTGTGTTTATATATTTTATTTTCCAAAGGAATATTTATTCATTGGGCTTTCTAGAGACATTCAAATTACACATTACAATTAAATTATTTACGTTTGAAAAACAAAGTTTCAGTGTTGACTGCATAGGTCTTTAAACTGTTGGGTCACTTGGGAATTTGCAACATCACATCACTTCAGGAAGGTGCTTAAATGGTCTCTAAGGATTTTGAACACTTCTGATTATGAAAACAAGTTTTCATCTATATTTTCTAAGCTATTTCCTTATGTATAGCACTTTAAAAAAACTCACTATTACTCGTTTTTTTACTGCCTGATTGCTTAAGAGTTAATTGGTTCAGCACCTGGGCAGGAAACTATTTTGGCAGAAATTCTTCAAGTTTTAGCCATAAAATTCTGGATAGTGAATTGTAATCAGGTACTCCTTTTCTTTTTCTTTATTCCCCCCCCCCCCCTGCCCCCCACAATAGAGCATGCAAGAATACTTTCTGTGTTGAAGAAATTGTTGAGCACTCATTTGGAATATGAAAATAGTTCGTTGGTTATAATTTAGCATTAAAAGAGTACATTTCTATGGGCCAGAGCAATAGTATAGCAGGTAGGGTGTTTGCCTTGCACACAAGGTGGTGCTGGCTCTCTCTGTGTACTATCTCTCCTGCCTTTATGAAATTTTCTTAAAGCACTTCACATTCATTTAATTGCCGTTTGCTTCCTGCAAGACAAATGCCATACTCCCTATACTATTGCTTTGGCCCCTAAAGTCTGATTTTTATGTCTTAGTATCAAACTTCTAAGTATTTTTTAAATATCACAAATTAAATTTTGTTGTGGCAGGTAATAGCTATTATTTTTCTTCATGAACAGCTTTGCAGGTACTCATATTACTTCTGTGTCAGTATCCTTTGGAAAGCAGTATCATTTGATTCGAAAGGGTGGAGCATGTGCCTTCCATCTCGAGGTCCTGATTTGACCTTGAGCACTGCAATAGCCTGCATGGCCCCTCAATACCACAGTGCTGACTCTGAAGGCCTCTAGTGCCTCCAGCCTCTGTTACTGAATTGACAGTCCTAACCACTGGGCCGAGCATTGCAGGGAGTGACCAAGGCTTTGACAAAATTATAGAAAGTAATATAGTTTGAAAGTATAAATGTGGGGCCGGAGCAATAGTACAGTTGATTGGGCATTTGCCTTGCACGTGACCAACCCAGTTCAATCCCCAGCATCCCATGTGGTCCCCTGAACATTGCGAGGAGCAATTCCTGAGTGCAGAGCCAGGAGTAACCTCTTGAGCAACACTGGATGTGACCCAAAAAGCCAAAAAAAAAAAGTGTAAATGTGTGTGCGTGTTTTTGTATCAGAGAAATAAGGTCAGTAATAAATTTTAGGTGTGTTTATTTGGAAAAAGTTTAATCTGCAAGATAGCTGATATCTTATAAAGACACGTTTCATAAAAGCCTGTTAAATCATTTTCAAAACATGATTATAAATTACATTTCGAATGCTGTGCGGATTGCAGTAATTGTCAGCTATTCCAAATGATGTTGATTAATACCTGGTTTCATTTCACAGTCTTGCCTATTACTGTTTTCTTTTTATTAGCTTGTTTTTTAGGTGATAAAATATACTTATTTTTGAGACTAAGATACAGAATTGTGATTATATCTTCATAACATTATGTGATTACTTTGAGACAGCATAATACTTTCCCAGCGTCAGTATCTGTGGAAGTTTCCGTGTGACAGCTTTAGCTTATTCTGGCCTTACATTATACTTAGACATAAAAACTGCTCTTTAAGGATTTATTAAGCATTAAAATTGTCTTACTGGAACATTTAGTGTAAGTTAAGCAATAGCTTTGTTTTCATTACCTCACTATTTAGAAATTATAAAAAGCACTGACCTCTAAAATGACTTTAGTGTTCCAGACATATTTTCTAACTTTGTTTCCTAAATTGGACAATAAATTTTATGGCCAAGAAAGAAGTTAGAATCACATCTCAAATAATTTTAGACAGTTGCTGTAATGCATTTTAAGAAGGAAAATTAATAAATTGCAAAAAAATGAAACTTTTTTCCAAGGTAATTTTATACAGCATAATTTTAATTTTTTCTTTATGTGGATAGTTTAAAATAGCTATGCAGGTTTCTATAAAATCTCAATGCAAATGAGGGAATTGAGGACATGAGGGGTAGATGGGTACAGAGAACCTGAGCAAGAAAATTTATTTACTTGCCCTATTTCATTAATTCTGATTTTAAAATAAATTGACATATAGTTCACTTCACTTATCACTTTTTTTAAAAAAATTAATTTCACGTGTTGCTCTATCAGGTAAGAACTGGAGTTCAGGGGTTAAAAAATAGTAGAACCTTGCATGCAACTAATTTCAGTTCAGTCCCTAGTGCTGTATGGTCCTAGCATTGGATCGTCCCCCAACCACCATCTGATGTGAAAGCATAACCCATTCCACTAAAGGTATAGTGTAAGAATTCCAGCTTTAGGAGTTGGGGAGTTGCCATTGGCTCGGAGGGCTGGAGCACATGTTTTGCATGTGGAACTCCTGGGTTTGATATCCCACCTCTAAGGTTCCCCCCCCCCCCCCCCCCCAGCACTGCTGGGTGTGGGAATTTCCAGGGATCAAACCTAGGGCATCATATATATACTTGTACTCCGCTATTGAACTGCATATACTCTTGCCCCAAGACCACTATATTTTATAGTTGGCTATTAGGGAAGGATGATCATAGTACAGTTTTAGAGAATTGGAGATGAATGTAATATAACAGTATACATACGATTTGTAAAAGTTATTTAGTAATGAAATCACAATCCAACAAAATAATTATACTTTTATGTTATAAAAGAACCTTATAATATTTCAGAGTGGTATTTTTAATTGAGATTAGGGAGAGAAACTTAAGAAACGTATAGGAAGGAAACCTATTTTTTAATTTGTTTCTAGAATAATTTGTTCATCAATTGCCTTGAGCAGGCCCCAGTAACGTCTCCTTCGTCCTAGCCCTGAGATTTTTTTAGAAGTGCCATATTCAAGGCTCTTTCAGGGTTAGGAGAATGAGACCCATCATTGTTACTGGTATTTGGCATATTGGGTACGCCACGGGGGGGTTGCCAGACTCTGCCGTGTGAGCAGGTTACATTTGGTAGCCAACCAGGGTGTCCAGTGTAAGAATGAGATAATAAAATGTCAGCTTCCGGGAGCTGGGTTTTATAGTCTCTGGGTCCTGGCTGTTGGTGGGATTACACGGCGCCAGGGGGCCAGTTGGTGGGTGTGGCCCCTGCCTAGTGGAATATGGAGGATCTGGGTGGAGGATGCTCAACCCTCATCCGAGCAGGCTTAGAGATCTGAGCCCCGGGACCCGCATGCCTTTGTTCTTCTGCTGGTACCTTCATGCGTGTGGAGAGTGGTCTCAGCATGGTGGTGGCTGGTTCTGGAGGTCTTCGGCTGCAGGAGCCCTGGTCAGGGCAGGGAGGGAAACTCAACCCGCTCCCTCCAAGGGGCCCTGGCGAGGACAGCCAGGCATGGGGGTAGGAGCCTCTTAATTGAATAATTAATTCAATTAATTCAACTTAATTGAATAATTTATAATTAAAGTACAAAAGCTGTTAGGAGCCCAGAGAGGTAGTATAGTGGGCATGGCGGGTAGGATGCATGCTTTGCATAAGACCTGGGTTCAATTCTTGGTACCATATAAGGGTCTCTGAGCACCACCAGGAGTGATCCCTGAACGCGGAATAAGCTTTCAGCATAGCCAGGAGTGGTCCAGAAACTAAAAATATCCTTCTATCTCCTTATCATTGATAAGTACATAATCAGTGATAGTCTTAGATTTACTTACAGCTTGTGTATCTTAGTATTATAGTGGGGGAAATTGGAGGCAAACCAAAATACCCAATTCAAGTAAAAAAATGACTTTGTCAGTTGTGTCATAACGTAAATAGTCATTAAAATACCCAGGTTTTTGCGGGGGTCAGAAGGTGCACATCAGGCTTCTGCATTCAGGGTCATTCCTGGTGGCGCTGGGGGAACATATGGATTGCCAGGAAATGAATCCCTGTTGGTTGATACAAGCACCCTACCGTACTGTCTCTCCAGCTCCTGTTGTTAAAATACTTTAAGACTTAATGATGCACTGGTGGAGGGTTGGCTGTTCGAAACTCAAGTAGGAAAACTTTGTAACTGTATCTCTTGGTAATTCAGTGAAAAAAAATTAAAATGACCATTCTGAATTAAGAATAAAAAAGTAATGTGGAGTTCATGCCCAATTCAATCAGCTTAATCTATGACTGAATAAATAGCAGTATCCTACATTAAAAAAAAAAGACTAAATGATGTAGGCTCATGCTTAGAATATATTAGATGACAGAGTGGTAAAGTTTATTTATAGATGATTCTAATTTTAAAATGTACAAAGGTAAAAGCTGAAAAAAATGAGCCCATGTAATTTAGAGTCATAAGTTACAATTTTTCTTTTATTTAAAAGTATTTATTAAGCATATCTTTATAATTACTAGCAATTTTAAATTTCACTGTTATAACCAGTATAACTTATTATTTATTTTGTTGACACCACTTTTGAAATATTATGCACTGTTTGAAATTTTGTCTAAAATATTTTTCAGTCTATTTTTTTTTGAAGTAAATCGATTTTATTTGGAGGATTTTCTAAGGTGTGGAGTGGGGGGGAGAGAGAGAGAGAGAGAGAGAGAGAGAGAGAGAGAGAGAGAGAGAAAGGTTAGACACGAAAGCATGAAAGTACACATCTCAAGAGGGGAGATGCGGGCGACACATGTGCTTGGACACCACAAGTGCTCAGCCTTTTCAGTCTATTTTAAATGTAAATATAGTTTCTTATATTACAAACATCTGAGAAACTGAATCTGTATCTAAAAATGAAAGAGTTATAAAATTATTTTCACTATTTTGTTCTTTGCATTTTCCTCTTGAGTGTTTTCCCCTGTAGTTTACTCTTATGGAGTCTTTAAGTTTGTATTTCTCTCCTAAATTCTTCCTGATTTTCTCTAAACTTTTTACTCTCTAAAAGTATTCATTTTTCAGTTGTATAAACTCTAAGGGTATTGTCAAAAATACTCACATGTATCTTTTGTGTGTGTTGTGTGTATGTATGAAGATTTCTCTGAAGTCATTAAAGATATTATCCTACATTCTTAATTCTTGTATATTAGTACTTACATAAGTGCATTATTTATGATGAGTGGTCAATATCTTCTCTCTTATTAGAGAATTCATGGTTCTACTTCCCGTGTTCTTCACTCAGCTAGAGTAATGATCTTGATTATTTTCCTATGCTCTAGTCTGTTTATTGATCTATTGCTTGTGTCAATACTGGGCCAAAGAGATAGTATAGCATGTAAGGCATTTGCCTTGATAAAGCCTATAAAGATATCTGAAGAGGCCTATAAAAGTGTGTTTTATCCTATCATTTTGTTAATTATTCAAGAATGTTTTTAATTTTTATGTATTGATTTACTAAAAAAGTTGTCTAACTGACAAGTTTCTAAAGAAGTCACAGCTTTTTTATATTCAGTTAGGAACATAATAGAAGAATCATCTATTACGGTATCATAGGTAAGCCAGATATATAATAGATGTAGTCTTGCCCAGGATGGGAGATGCCTGCTGAAAGTAGTCTATGGACTGAACATGATTGCTACTCAATGTCTCTTCTGCAGACCACAGCACCCAAAAGGAGAGATAGAACAAAAGGGAGTGCCCTGCCACAGAGGGAGGGTGGGTTGGGGGATGGGGGGATGGGAGGGATACTGGTAATGGTGGGGGTAGAGAATGGGCACTGGTGGTGGGATGGGTACTCGATCATTGTATAACTGAAACCCAAGCACAACAACTTGTAAGCCTACAACTCATGGTGTTTCACTAATAAAATAAAATTAAATTAGATTAATAAAATAATAATAGATGTAGTCTGTTTTGGTGTAATAATCCAGCTTGTGTTTTTTTAAATTTTTAAAAATTTGGTCAGTGTTCTAGTGGTAAAATTTTATAGGTTACAACTTTACCAATAATGGCAGTTCATTTCTTTAGATTCCTTAACTTTCAGCACATCTCAATTTTTTATTTATTCATCTTCCATTCCTTGCCAATAGTGTTGCACTTTTCTACAATTTTGGAAAATCTTGGAAATCAGATCCAGGGATTATTAAAGCTACAGAAGAACAAAAGAAAAAGGTAGCATACTAAGTAGTCACATGTGTTTATTTATCAAATTGTACTTTAATTATGCCAGTGCCTCAGTTCTGTTTGCTGCAGTACTTCCAGCAGTCAATATAGTGTAAAGGAAGAAAAAAAAAATATATATATATACAATTATTATTATACTTTCAGAAGTAGGGTTGCAGTAATGTTTGTTTATGGTCTTGATAACACAGTGTTGCTGTACACCAGTGCCAACATCTAAGTGGCTGTGACCCTCAGTTCTGTACCTGTGTTGCCTCTGGTCTGCCCCTGGTCCCCTGATTGACAGTTAATGGTTTTGATCAGACTGTTATCCCTTAACCTGCCCGTGTTCCACACTCTCTGCCTGTGTTCCGTATTGCTTCTATTCAGCCCAGTTATTCTCCTCACCACCCTGACAACCAGAACTGCATTTCTTGGTCTTTATTCCAGTCTCCAATGTTTATTACCAATTGATATTGTCTATGCCCTCAGTTTGTTTCTTTGTATACCACAGATGAGTGAGATCATCCTTTATTTGTCCAAAGGGAGAAATAGTCTTTTGGAATACAAGGAAGTTTCGAGCCAAGCTGAGAGTCTCTGTAGCTCTAAAATAGATTTGTAACCACAGCACCCAGATTGTTCCTATATTGCTTGTCCTTTGACTTCCAAGACAGTATAGTTTTATTTTGCTCTTTGTGAAGCTGCTATAACTGCTTTTAGGAAAGAATATGAAATTTTAAAAAATCTTCATAAAGTCTCGGAAAATATTGATTGATAGATTAGATATACTATTCCAGTAATAAATACTTGCATATATGATTCAGGGCACCCCTTGTCTTTCAACCAGGTACTTGGGACTATAAATTCATAACTTAAAGATGTTATGTAAATGGGGAATTGCACTAGAGGCAGTTAAATTATTTTTGAAACTGTATAGTCTTTGACAATATAACAAATCTTAAACATTCCTGTTCACCATAGACTAAGATACTGCTGTATTCTTATGGTCTAAACATTTTCTAAATTAGGGTCTTGTCATAACGTACGTAATATAATATAAATAATCATAACATAATTTCTATTAATGAAAATACATAAATTTTATTTAGAAACCTGGGGGATTTTGTTTTCATTATTTAAAAATTTTGGTAATGTAAATTAAACGTAGTATCATTCATGTCAACAGAAAATTGTCTTTGATCTTTGATATATTTGTATAGGGGTTTGCTATCCTGATGTTATTTGTCCTTTAGACTTTATTGCTAATTAGTTTTCTAGGTTTTCTTCGTAATAATGCAGTTTTGAAAACTCAGTTCAGTTTTATTTTTATGTTGTAACCAGAATATATATTTAACTTCAATTGCAGAGGAATATTTCTGTAACTCAGTTTAGGGCCATATTATATCTTAAGAAAGAAACTTCCATTAATTATACTGTAATGAACTGAATTTACACTACAAATGAAATAGAAGTAAATGAAACAAAATTTGTATCGCAATGAAAACACTAAAAATGTTTAATGTTAAAGATGATGAACATCACGACTATTGATTCATACTGATAGTGTGGTAGTTGAACATTATTACTAAAAATAAAATTTTTAATTACTTTTTTTTTTTCCCATTCACAGACAATAGTTGAACTTGCAGAAACAGGAAGCCTGGACCTCAGTATATTCTGCAGTACCTGTTTGGTATTTATCTATTTTTATTATTATTATTATTATTCTCTGTCTTCTCTCTCTCTGTTAGTGGCATGGTATTGAGGGTTTGCAGGAGAACAGTTTATTTCACTGTCACATTCTCCTACCTCTATCCAAAAATATCCTTTATATTGTGTGCAGGAGAAAGGATGGTAAAATGTCTCCTTCTGAAGACACTTCCCTGCTGGGAGACCTTGATACGCTTCTAAATCAGCAGTGCTATTCATTCATAGTCATTCTTACTCTCTTTTTCTTTTTCTTTTTTTTTTTTGAATTATGAGCCACACCTGGCAATGTTCAGGGGTTACTCCTGCTCTGCACCCAGGAATCACTCCTGGCAGTTCTCAGGAGACCATACGGGTTGCTGGGGATCAAACCCAGGTTGGCCATGTGCAAGGCAACTGCCTTACCCATTGGGCTGTCTTTCCAGTCCCTTTATTCTCTTTTTCCTCTCTTAAAACATAATTCAGCAAAACTATAATATATATAGTTTTGAATCTCTGCATATTAGAGATCTCTATCGCGTTCTGATAGTCACTAAGGTGATTTGGAATATTATAGAGCTAAACATTTCTCAGCACTTAAAAATAGTCAAGTGTCCTAGGCATGAATTGTCTGTTAAGAGTCAAATAATGAACTTTATAGGCAATCCTATATTTGCACCAAGTAGGGACCACCTGCTGTCCCCTGAGCAGGTTGCACTTAGGCTCAGGCCTTCCCACAGGGCCACTGCAACCTCAGGTGGCACTTACAGAAAAACATCTGTTTTTGCTGGCATTCTTAACTTTGGGAAGACTTACATTTTACTAATGATTTTGAATTTTAAAAGTACCTTTGATTAACTGACCTTTATGAAAATAATTTTATTAAGGAGCAAGCGATAATATAATCGTTGATCCAATACATTTCTTTTTGTAGACTGGGGAATGTTGTTTTCATTATTTAAACATTTGAATAATGTAAATTAAATGCAGTACCATTCGTATCACAGAAAATTGATCTTTTGTAAATTGATGGCTCTACTCTATCCTTCAGCGTCTATGTCCTGTAGTCATCTTACTCTGTTATGTTTTTTGCATTTGAAACTTCATTAAAGAAGACTATCCTGATTTTCATTTGGTTTAGGGGAAATACTGTTTAGCTTTCTGTCTCAGATATAGTACTGTTCATAATCTTTTAACAATGCCTGTTAACAGATACGGAAACCTGTGAGGTCCAAACATTGTGGTGTGTGCAACCGCTGTATAGCAAAATTTGATCATCATTGCCCATGGGTGGGTAACTGCGTAGGTAAGCTTTTTTACTGATTTGTTAACATTGTTCTCTAGGCAAATAATAAAGTGCACTGTTAAAATTTGGGAGAGAAATGGGGCCAGAACAATAGTACAGCTGGTAGGGCACTTTGCCTTGCATGCTGCTGACCTGGGTTCAACACCCCCCGCCCACCCCCCTACCCCTCGACATCCCATGTGGTCCCGTGAGCCCTCCAGGGGTAATTCCTGAATGCAGAATTAGTTGTAATTCCTGAGTATCACAGAATGTGCCCACCTTTATCGCCCTCCTCTCCCCCCCAATTTTAAGAGAATTGATTCCTGCACTTTACTCCAGCAATGTCTGCTTTCTCTCTCCTACCCCATCCTCTATCCCAAAACCCTCTATCTTCTGGTGGACAAGCCAACAACTCAGTTGAGGGTCAAGCAGTTCATAAAAACCAGTGTTTAAAAAAGATTGATACATCTCCATCTATTCTTCTGGGGGCCTCTTTATCTCAAATTTCTTCATTGTAATAAATCAAGATGAAACTGCTGTCACTGTCACTGTCCTCCCTTTGTTCATTGACTTGCTCAAGTGGTCCCAGTAACATTGTGAGACTTGTTACCATGGTTGGCATATTGAATACATCTTGGGTAGCTTGCCGGCATTGCCGTGCGGGCGAGATACTCTCTATAGCTTGCCGGACTCTCCGAGAGGGGCGGAGGAATCGAACTCGGGTCAGCCGTGTCAGCTGTGTGCAAGGCAAATGCCCTACCTGCTGTGCTGTCGCTTCAGCCCGTGAAACTGCTATTTTTATTTAATTTTATTTTTATAAAGTTGCTCATGATTTATTACAGTCAATATTCCAACACCAATCTTACCACCATTTCACCTTCCCACCACCATTATTTCCAATTTTCCCAGCCACCACCCAAACCTCCAATGGCAGGCCCTAAATAGTTTATTTTATATTGCTTCTTATGACTAATTGCTAAAAATAATCAGAAAAGATTTCCTTAGAAGAAAGTTTGTGATGATTGTTGTGTCTCACCCTGGAGTCATTAAGCCCTGGTTTAAGTTATTACTAACATGTTGCGGTTAAGCCTTGTCTTAATATCTTCTTAATTAGTGGTGTGTAAAGTTGCCTTTTACTTTACATCCCATCCAATGTGTTGTGTTACTCCTGATGTATCAGTGATGTAGAGTATGAGATCTTGCTCCAGGAATTCTAAAATTTTGAATAGGGTGAAACAGCTGAAGTTAAATTTTTAACTGCATGGTGACTTTGGTGCTCTGGAAACATCTCTGCAGCTTGCTGATCTCTCGAGATTTTTTTATGAGTTTTCTGGATCATGACTGGTTTGATGAGCTTATGTGGCAGCAAAGGCAGTTCATGGGTGTGCCTGCCAGGCTTCCAGAAGAATGGGGGATGGAGAGGAGGTAGCCATCCCCAACTCTGTGAGAACCTGGAGATTTTGGTCACAAAACCTGAATACCTGATTTTTTCCAGATTCATTCCTGGATGAGGCTTGTCCTGAGCCTGTGGAGTTTGGTCATGAGCATGATGGCAATAGGAGTGTGGAGTTCTTTGGCTGCCAGGGTTCTGTTTGGGCGGTGGTGGGCTCACCCACCCCACTCTGGGGTACCCCAAATATGAGACTCAGCCTAGGACAGGGTTTGGAGGCATCTCTCACTGTTTATTTTTTATTGTGGGCATTGGGGGCTGTTAGGTCTTATTCACTGGTGCTCGGGTTACTCATGGCTCAGCACTCAGGGATCACTCCTGCTGGACTCTGGGGACCATGTGGGGTACCCGGGATTGAACCTGCATCAGTCACATTCAAGGCAAGTGCCCTACCTGCTATACTATCTCCATGGTCCCAAGGAACTAATGCTTTAACTAAAGGCAATAAAAACATTTGCAAGGGAGCTGGAGCAATAGTACAGTGAGTAGAGCACTTGCCTTGCACATGCTGATCCAGGTTCAATTCCCAGCACCAAATACTTAAACCTGGCCAGGAGTGGTCTCTGAGCACCACCAGGAGTGTCCTTAACCCAGCTCACACCCCCCCAAAAAAGAAAAATCAATTTGCAAGGATGTTAGCTACAGAGGGAGAGAGGGACAACAGCTAAGCACTTTGCATGGCTCCATATTTTAATGGAGTTTAAGGTGTAGTTTAATGATGTAGTTTAAGGAGTTGAACTAAATGGTCTGATAGTCATTTCTGGGTGTTCTATGAGATGACAACAGAAAAATAGAGTGTGTAGCCTTGGGGAAGAAGCTTTTGGAAAGCTGCTTTATAAAGTTATAAAGCTAAAGATAAAATAGGGTTATTTTTAAACTTCACGAAGCCAAACAAGAGAATTAAAACTACGAATTGTGATTTATTGGGTTCAGTGGTCCTCTTATGCCTTCGGAAATTTATATTTGCAATTATCTCATCTTTTGTGTAATTCTAAGCGATCATATTTAAGACTTTTGTTAAAACTTTTTTTGGACTGGCGTGGTAACTCAGGAATGGAACTGCATGTCTTGCATTCAGAAGTCTTAAGTTCAGTCCTGTTACTGGATGCCCCTACCCTCACCCCTTACACTGCTGGGTTGGCCCAACACCTTAACAATGAAAAAAATTTTTTTTCATAAAATAAAATTTTTTAAAGAAAATTTTGTAAAATAGTTAATGTATTTGATTATTGTTCACATTGTATCAGGCAGATTAAGACTGTTCTGACTTTCTCTCCCATCCCATTTTTACAGGTCTATTTCCAATTGGTTTTTTTTCCCCTTAGCTAAAAAAATACTACTTCTGTGTTGTTCTTTAGGTGCAGGCAACCATAGATACTTTATGGGCTACCTATTCTTCTTGCTTTTTATGATATGCTGGATGATTTATGGTTGTATTTCCTGTGAGTACAATTATATTACTTATATGTGGATACTCATACTTTCCATATTAACAGAAATTACAATTACAGTAGTCTTTCGATTTAAAAATTATGTTTGGGGTACCTCACACAAGGGAGTGCATAGTAATGATATAAGAACTATCAAATACAAGACTGTAGCACTGTAGCACTATAGCACTGTCCTCCCGTTGTTCACGATTTGCTAGAGTAGGCATCAGTAATGTCTCCATTGTGAGACTTGTTAGTGTTTTTGATGTATCGCATATGCCACGGGGAGTGTGCCAGGCTCTGCCATGTGGGCAGGATACTCTCGGTAGCTTGCGGGCTCTCCGAGAGGGATGGAGGAATCAAATCTGGGTCAGCTGCATGCGAGGCAAATGCCCTACTTGCTGTGCTATTGTTCCAGCTCATAAGACTGTAATTATGTTAAAATTGTAGTATAATCAACAGAATTCTAAATTAACTACATGTATCCTCCGAAAAACATATTATCTCAGTTGGCTTTGGATAGTATAATTATTGAATATTAATGGTAAGGGGTATTAGAAGTTGCTCCTTTGAGAATGAGTTGTCATTCATTTAATCATCTCAGTTTAGCATTTTTGAATTTTAAAATCGTGTCCGAGAACATAATTTGGAAAAAATTTTAATGAAAATATTAGTGACCATGTTTAAGGTTTGGTAGTAGTACTTAGCATGAAGTTGTATTAAATCCTGTCTTAAAAATTAAGTCTTAACATGTTTGCCACTCAATGCCTCTTTTGCAGACCACAACACCCAAAAGGAGAGAGAGAACACAGGGGATTGCCCTGCCACAGAGATGGGGGGATGGGGGGATGGGGGTGGGAGGGATATTATCCATGGTGGTGGAAAATGGGCACTGGTGGAGGGATGGGTATCTGATCATTGTATAATTGAAACCAAAGCACAAAAAATTGTAAATCTACAACTTTAAAAAAAATAAAATAAAATAAAGGGGAAAAAAAAAAAAAAATTAAGTCTTAAATGATTGATTTCCTAGTTCTACATTCACGGACATTAAGAATAACCTGTTATTATACTAATGAAAAAGAGAACGACCTCAAATAGAATTCAATAGAAAGATTTGGTCAAGGAGTAAAAGCAATAGTTCTTTATGGCAGCTACTTCCAAAGAGTCAATTTGTGTTTGTTTGAAAAAGCTCATCCTATCAAGTTGATGTTGTGTGACTTGCTCTCATTCTGCCTAAAATCTCATATCTGTTAAGGTTAAGTGTTTGGATAGCGAGTATATCTGTTACACTAATTTTAAAGACTATATTATTACAGTACAGTTTTTTAAAAAGCTTGTTTCTCATTTTTATAGGTTTGCTAATATATAATGAAATTATTTAATAGTATAAAAAATTTATTGTCATAAATTAAATTCAGATTATGTTTTTAAGTGGTGCTTAATCAAATGCCTCCAGGAGGCTATTTTTCTGATGACTAAATACATTTGAGTGCTTCTGTTCTGATTTTAGACTGGGGACTCCACTGTGAGACCACTTACACCAAGGATGGATTTTGGACATATATTACACAAATTGCCACTTGTTCACCTTGGATGTTTTGGATGTTTCTGAACAGTGTTTTTCATTTCATGTGGGTGGCTGTATTACTCATGTGTCAGATGTACCAGGTATGTATCAGGCTATTCTGAGCTCTCTAGTGTTCTAATACTGCCTATTTTTAACCACCCTTTACTTTTGAAGAATCCATTTTCAATTTTTCTCCCAGTACCTCTTTCCATTTCTTCTCTTCTTTCTCATGTTTTGAGCCTTAATAATGTTATTAGCAATTTTCAGTTGTTTCTAATTTCAGACTACAGGTCTAATTGGATTTGTGAGCATAGTTTGATGATGCCACTAATTTTGCCTTGACAGTAATCTGTTGTTATCCAGAAATAACAATTTGAGAATCTTTGTAATTAAGAATATAAAACAAAAAACTCATTTTTAGAGTTCAGAGAGCTCCACGGATTGAAGTACATGTTCAAGATGCACAGGGCTCTGAGTTCTATCCCCAGTAGCTTATGGCTTCCCCAGCTGAAGAGGCCTATGGAGAAAAGCTTCATTCTTAAAGGGGCTAAGGGAGAGTGATCTGTGCTGTAGTATCTGGCTCTCCACACATCTATGGGTAGGAAACTTGAATATTAACTGTTTATCCTGTGTAAACACCTGGTTGCTTTTCAAGGCTGAAATGTTACTATCTAAGGTACTTTCATCTTCTGATGGAAAACCGAAAGCAGAGCTCATTTTTCCTCTCTTTCCTGGTCTTCTTGAGGATTAACTTATTTTGCACTAAATATTAAGAGTCACAGTTAATGATTTGCTTTTTTCTTCTTAGATATCATGTTTAGGTATTACTACAAATGAAAGAATGAATGCCAGAAGATACAAGCACTTTAAAGTCACAACAACATCTATTGAAAGTCCATTCAAGTATGTATATGTTCATTATTACTAATACGTAGTACACCAAAAAGAAATGTTTTCTTAAGACATAGCATTAGAATATTAAGAATATTTCTTTTGGGTAAAATTAGCTTATACATCCTACTGAATTCTAAGATTTTGCCAGAGATAGCATGGTTAGTTCACTTTAGAATTCATCATATAAGTATAAATTTATGCTATTTTATGCACATATAATTTTAAAAATTGTGTGGTTTTATATATGTAAACAGTGTTACCCAATTTGAAATGCTTACCAAAATTTTAGGTTTTTTGCAAGCTGTTGTCTACTACCTTTAAGCAGTTATTTAGTGCTATTATTATATACCTCTTGAAATTTATTTTTAAAAATGAATTATTCTTAGGTTTACCATCAGATTCATGCTATTTGTAATTATGTTGTCTCTGACTTTCTTCATTTTTGGATAGAATTTGTTGTCTTTCTAAAGAGTCACTAATCAGTTTTTTTTATCAAGAATTATGTGTGGCCTAGAAATTACAGAAACGTATATCTAACGCTATAGTTGTATAACTCATTAAATTAACAAAAGACAAAAGAAAAATCAGTGTTGGCAGAACTGTAAAGAAACATGAATCTGTATGTAAATTTAGTAGTTAGAAGGAAATTTTTTTAACAAGTAACTTGAATATTTAAGTTCGGGGTGGGGGTATTAGCACCAGAATTCAATATAATATAGTTAATAATTCATAAATCAAAGCATTGTACTAATAGACTTTTTCTTTTTTGGGGGGGCTTATTTTCAGCCATGGATGTGTAAGGAATATTATAGACTTCTTTGAATTTCGATGCTGTGGCCTCTTTCGTCCTGTTATCGTGGACTGGACCAGGCAGTATACAATAGAATATGACCAAATATCAGGATCCGGGTACCAGCTCGTGTAGCAACATCTTTATCCTCTGACGCATATTGCTGAGTGGTGCCTGAAAATTGTGTCTGTCCACATCTCTCTCTTACTCGAATCCACATCCTTTGAACAATAGCATGCTATACGTAGGGCTAACAGTGAATTTCACACTTTTTTCCCCCCAGCACTTTTATTAATAAAAGTAAACATGGACAGAACACACTGCCACTGCTGAGAAGAACACAGATCTTTAAAAAGAATTTTAATGGTTCTCTTTGTGGGGATTCATAATACTCAACTCTTTGGTTTTATTCTCATAACATTTTTCATGGAAAGAGAGTGAACTTACTCTCTCAACAGACATGGCATGCTCATCAGAAATGTTCAGTTCTAGCTAAAACTAAGTTTTATAATGCAGTCTACGGATAGCATTGCATTTAATTCCAAGAAAGTTGTTTTAAATTGACTCAGACTAGTATTATGTACGTTTCAGAATGTACGTGTAAATACTGTGATGAAAATCATGTGGTTTTATTAGGGATCTACCATAATGTGTCTTTAAAGGCACAAGAAAATAATGCTCACCAAAAAAATGTGCTAACAATAATTTATTGCTGTCAGCTGTTGCAATGCTGATACATTTCTAGTTCAGTGAAATAATTTGTGACCTTGCTCTGAGGTTTTATGGTCTGATAAAGCACTTGCATGAGAATAGTAAGTCATGTTATTTTGTTCAAACTGAAAAGCCCTACTAAGTGCATGATACACCTCATAGAATGTATACTAGCACATACTATCCAGTAAAGCATAAATTAGAATTTAATTTGGTGTGCAAACAGTTCAATTTTTAAGAGTTGTATTTTTAAGGAAAGGAAAAAATAAGTTAATGCAAAATTTTATCAGAGATGAGTGGATATACTTTTAAAATTCTGAACTGCAAAATGTAGGCAAAATAATGGAGCTTAGCCAAAAGTGGAGCATGATCTCTGTACATAGCAATGTGAATAAAAACCAGTGATAAATTCTGGTTTTCTAAAAATGACCTTTGAGAAAGAATTTCCAAGATTATCTCAACTTTTCTCTCTATTGAATGTTTTGAAATTCATTAATACTCTCAGAGATAATTTCAGAACGATTTTCTTGTTACATGTGATGCACTGATCAATTTTTGTTGCAGCATTTTCATACTCTCATGGAGAACTATTAGTTCCTGCTTCTATAAATATTGTTTACAAAGTGAAGCTTGGTTTAGTCCTCTTAAGTGCTGTAGTAACTGTGGTTCGAGCAGCCTGTGGGAAACCTGTGAGAGGGAGCGGGCTGGGGGAGGGGGGGAACGGATGGTCAGACCATGACAGATCTTCGACCAGTGTAAAGATTGTGTATCTGTATATAAATAATTTATGGAATAGTTTCTTTGTGTCTGTGTTAGTATATTTAAAGCTGCTCATTTCATTTGATACAACCAAAAAAGAAAAGGGAGATAACTAACAAGCTTCTAGTAATATTCAATATTGCTGTTAATAGGCATTATACCCTGCAAGTTCACTGCATGTCTGATGCTTGGTAAAATTAGTATTCCCTGTACAATACAGATTACAGATATTAAGCAAACTAGTGGTATACCCGCCCCTTGCCTTAGTAAGAGGAGCAGTGAAAATGTATATAGTTGATGTTCAGTATTTCCAAGTATCATTTTTTTATATAGTTTCTTGACCATAAGTCACACACATTTAAAGAAAATTTTAAAAAGATTACCCTTAGTGTATGTGAGTGTTTTAATATTTAGAAAATTGGCATATGTACTTTATTTTTGAAAAGGGAAGCAGTGGGTGTGGGGTGGCAATAGCATTGTGCCATTTTGTCATAGAATGTAAAAAATTGGTTAACTTTACAAATGTCTGCTAGTTTTGACTACTAATTGGGGGAAATTTTAGATAATTTTTAAATTCAAAGTTATTTATAAAAGGCTAGAATTTGTTTTAATTTTTTTGTATTTTGAGCCACTTCACATGAAGACTCAGTTGCAATTTTTATCAAATACATTTGTATTAACAGTTGAATACGGTGGTGGTTTTCTCAAGAGTTAAGAGTGTTGTTACCATTTTCTCCGTAGGGACAATATTCTTTTCAGAATGAAAGAGGTGTCTTTCAGTTAAGTAGGGGGGGAAAACTTTAGCTGTATTAATTAAATGGAAGAAGATCTGTGAATGCTTTACACTAACCATCTCATTAACTACCACTGAAATCTATAACTCAGAACTGGTCCGATGGTCAGGAGCCAACTATGCAGCAGTGAACAGACTGTTTAATTATTCTGTAGGTTTTGTGTGTGAGAAGCAGGTTAACCCAGTTCTAAACTTGTGTATGAAGGTGACCCTTTGGGGAGTAGTTCATGTCAGTCGATTAATTGGTTACTTTTAGGGAGTAGAAACTTTTTTCTCAGCTCTGAACATGAATTACTACTTGGGAGGTTTTCCCCCCTTCATATTTTGGTTGTTTCCAGGAATTTGAAATATTAATGATATAAAGTAGCATTATTCTTAAGCTGTGGATATTTTTATTTTATATTTTATTTATAACTGTGCCAAGTATTATTTTGCTACTTAACCGTGTTACTCTGTGGAAAGAAAAACCTGTAAAGTGTTTAATAAATTAGCTCTCCTTACATAAATTAAATTGTTAAAATTTTTAAAAATATTAATCAGAATAAATATTGACTCTTAAGTGTGTGCTTGTGATTTCGTTCAGTTCACTTCAAAAAAATTGATGAAACACTACTTAGTGGTACCTATGATATGAGATTCTTATATATTTATATCAGGTAAACTAGGAATCAAGTGACATAGAATGTAGAAATTGGCAAAAGTAAAAGATGGTAGTATTCTAAACAAAATCTTCAATTCTGTATGTGTGTAATTTTTTAATAAAGAATAAATTTTTATTTAAAAATACCGGTTTCCATTGAGTTATTAGGATCCTCAGATTCTGTGGGACTATCCAGGTAATTTGTCTAGGTACTAGTGAAATATTGCAGAAAGAAACCTGCCAAAAACTGATCTTAAATATTTGATAAACTATGCATGACAGAACTTCATTGTTGAGGAATTTAAAAAGCAAAAATTATGAAAATGTTTTCTATTGTTCAAATGGTTTATGGTTTGAGAACTCTGATATTAAGTAGAAGTACTTTCAGATTGGACGAATGTTCAATTCATAATTATTTTATGACAATGAAAGTAATACCTCCAGAACTTCATAGTCTTCGAGACATTCTGAAGCAAGCGTACAAAACAAATCCAAGCACTGCATTTTCATTTCAGTTACATGTTTAGGTCGTAATCTGCTGGTCTACCTTTGATACTGATGGTTGGTTCTAAGAATTCATAGAATTAGAAATAAGTAGTACACACAAAGGCAAGGAATCTTACTGTGTCAGATTAACCTTTGGTTTCATAAAGTGCTTGTTCTAAGTTTTCTGTTAAATATCTTTAAAAGTAAAATCTATGTAATTCCAAGTGAATGCTGAAAATGTCCCTTCATCTAGGCCAACTAAAATCACAAGCTGAAAGATACAAAATATATCAGAGTTGGGAGTGTTTAAGTCAGTTAAAGTTGACTTGATTGGACTAGTTATCTGTCAGACATTTTTTTTTGGCTTGACAGCACTCTTAACAGCAGTGTTCTACTACTTCTATTTGGATCTGTAGGTTAGTTTTCATCAACTGTGGAGATTTTCCATCATTTCTTCAAATTTTTGTTGTCCTTTCTAGGAAGTTCCAGTTGTACACATACTAGGCCACTTGATACGCCTTATCCCTTATCCCTCAATTCATGTTTCTAATTTGTTGTTCATTCTGGGTGGTTTTCCTCCTTTGTACTATGTCTGTTATTCATCCTATTCAATGAAGAACACCTTCTACTTTATGCACCTACAAATGAACCTACAGTAGTTGACTTAGAAGGTCTTCTTAATCATTCCATCTCTCTGGGAAAAAAAAACCTGGAGTAAAGTCATAACTTTTACTATATTTTACCTTTTTCACTTCTGTGTCTGCCATGTTGGCCGCTTGTAAGGCGAACACCCTACCGCTGTGCTATCGCTCCAGCCATAGCACAGCGGGTAGGGCGATCGCCTTACAAGCGGCCAACATGGCCGACCCGAGTTCGATTCCTCCGCCCCTCTCGGAGAGCCCGGCAAGCTACCGAGAGTATTCGATATGCCAGACACAGTAACAACAAAGTCTCCAATGGAGACGTTACTGGGCCCGCTCGAGCAAATCGACGATCAACCGGAGGGCCTTTACTTTACTTACTTACTTCTGTGTCAGTTTTAGTCTGGTTTTAAATTACTTTATATGCCTGTAGGCCGTATATATAGATCGATAGATTTTTTTTTCTTTTTCCTTTTTGGATCACACCGGATGATGCTCAAGAGTTACTCCTGCCTCTGCACTCAGGAATCACTCCTGGCGGTGCTTGGAGGACCATATGGGAAGCTGGGAATCGAACCCGGGTTGGCCATGTGCAAGGCAAATACAAATTTCTTTGACTAGTGTACTTTTTCTTTTTAAGTTTCTGCTTAATTTTTGGCTCCCCCTTTAGCAATCTGGTGTGTTAAATTAGGCTTTGGAAAATGGTGTGTTTACAGGTCAGGCAGGTTCTGTTTTTCTGATATATATTACAGACCAATATCTCCCATACCCTCTAAAGGGAAATCTCAGTATACGCTTCCTTACACCAACTTGTTTTATAAATTGAATCTCCGGTAAAGAACTACAAATTTCCCGGGGAAGTACAGCATTCCTTAGTCTAACACTTTTGTTCTCCCTGAGCCAGCTGAATTTGCCATACACGCAGGACTGAAAAATGTGTGGATCAGAGAAACAGGTTTGTTTTTTGTGCAGCTAAGCCTGGTACATCCCTTGAGCACAGCTGGGTATGAACCCAATACCCCCACCCCCACCCCCCCAACACTGAAGTCTGTGAGAAAGTCATCCTAGTTTACAAGATATACTAAATTGCCACCTAGAAATAGAGTCCAGACTCTAGTTAATCTTTAGGCAGCTACCTGTAATAATGTAATAATTGTTAAAGATTTTTTTTAAAAAAATGTTTTTAAAGGGGCTGGAGCAATAGCATAGCGGGTAGGGCGTTTGCCTTGCACGCAGCCAACCCAGGTTTGATTCCCAGCATCCCATATGGTCTTCCAAGTACCGCCAGGAGTGATTCTTGAGTGCAAAGCCAGGAGTAACCCCTGACCATTGCCGGGTGTAACCCAAAAAGAAAAAAAAAAAATTTAAGTAGTATACCCATTCCAGTTTGGTTTTTGCTCTCCAGTCTTGGTAATTTTGGTGCATTACAAGCACATACACTTTAAACATAAACATATTAAATGCAATATTTTGTATGTTTCCATTTTTTCACTCTGCACTTAGAGAGCTCTTTCCATATATAACATTGATCAGGTGTTTTCTGTTTAATGACAATTTGGCATTCCATATATGGATATGCCAAAAAAAACTTAAATACACATGGCAGAGCCTGGCAAGCTACCCGTGGCGTATTCTATATGCCAAAAACAGTAATAACAGATCTCATTTCCCTGACCCTGAAAGAGTCTCCAAATTGTTGGGAAAGATAAGTAAGGAGAAGCTGATAAAATCTCAGGGCTGGGACGAATGGAGACATTACTGGCACCCGCTTGAGTAAATCGATGGAACAACGGGATGACAGTGATTCAGTGATACCCATCCAAAGGCCCGTGTACCTTGCTGGCACAAAGGCATTTCTATGGTCATCCCAAATTCTACTGCTGTGGTATTGAAGTGTTCCGTAGTTAGCCTAGAAATCTGCCCAAGTAATTCTAGTGGAAGTTGTTTCTGGGCTGTATTTGATAACCAATCAAAAAAAATGGTAGCATTATCACCAAGTATGAGTTGAGTAAGCAGGCAGATGTTTTATTCAAAGCCATCTCCGAGAAGAGAAAAAACTGGTAACGCCTATTGCCTGCCACTATCCTCTTAGGCATACTTGCTCACTTTAAAGAGAGGTCTTTTCCAATAGCTAGCATGCGCACAACCTGGTCACTTATGGGGTGTACTCCCCGTCACCAGTGAAATGCAGCTAGAGACAAATGACTTCCCACTACCCAAATTCACTGCAGCTCCTCCAAAAGGTTCATTAGAAGACAATGAACACCCAAATTAAGCTGTTTTATTTTAAATGTAAAAGAGTTCTTGAAAATGCTGATGAATAAAAAGCAAAGGATACAGTGCTGTCTTTCTACTAATGAGCCAGCCAATCCAAGTACAGGGCCAGTATACAGTGCTGGTAATTTTTCACAGTAGTTTAGTGTTAATCTGTGCTTAAGATTATGTAGAGATTCTAAGTGTGATGCTCAGCTCCACGTTACTGAGCATGTACAAGGGCCCCTGCTCCTTGGCCGTAGCCAAATCCCTTGGGCCCAAAGTTCTTTGCATAGCATCCTACAAAAGAAACACAAGAATTAGTGCAATAAAACAGTAAGTTTTAAGAGAATTAAGAATTGTTTCTTAGTAAAAACTAAGTCTAAGAAAATTAGGTTTTACTAACACTGCTACATGCTCCACCAGACCCCTGGTAAAAATTATGGCAAAACTCAAGTTATTTAACATGCAAAGTGTGCCATCTATACATTCTGGTTTCACGATGATTGACTCCTGGTTCTACTGGTTATCTAAAAATCAAATCAGGCATGTTCTGTCTATACTATCTTCAGATAGACTTTATATAGAAGCTGAAAGATTGGTAGGGTTTTTGTTTTTATAGGGTAGTTTTAAGTGATCAGTAACTTTGTTTTTGGTTTTTTGGTTTTTTTTTTGGTTTTTGGGTCACACCCGGCGATGCTCTGGGGTTACTCCTGGCTCATGCACTCAGGAATCATTCCTGGCGGTGCTCGGGGGACCATATGGGATGCTGGGAATCAAACCTGTATCGGCCATGTTGGCTGTGTTGCAAGGCAAACGCCCTACCCGCTGTGCTATCGCTCCAGCCCCTCAGTAATTTTGTTTTTAATAATCTAAAATTGTTTTTAACGGTTCTATCACCAGTAAGAATTCAGAACTTTTATTTGTAAATAGAGACATCTTTTTTTGTCAGGATATCTTTAAAGATGGAGACATTTCCTTAGCCTATTGTAAAGATGGGATATTCATATGGATTATAATAACTAAAGCTGCTTCTACAAATGTCAGAAATGCCTGGATTCAGAATGTGGTTGATTATGGTTTTCTTTAGTGAAGACTCATCCATAGATCAGCATTATTTGGGGGTCGGGTCTTTATCTGTGAGGCAGCAGCAGCAGCAACAACAAAAAATCTCAGTGATATAAAAAATTTTCCTTCGATAGGTGAAAGGATATACACTGAATCCAGGCCCACCAGTGTGATCATGGCTAGCAACTTAAGTTGAATATCTAACCACAGGTGGAAAGTGTAGAATAAAATTGGGTGCAAGGAAGGTGAATTTGCAGAGGCTTATTTGAATCGGCCAGAGAGGGAAAAACAACTTCATTTTTAGGCTGTGAAAAGCTCCAGGCCGTCTACGTCTAGCCCCTGGTGTGTATGCCAGAAGAGACCAGAGCCAGAGAGCCAGGTAATCAGAACATCTTACGCCTTGTTCTCTCTCTTTGCATTTCTGAGCACATAGAACAGCTCCATCCTGAGACGAGGATCTCAAATCAAAATACGGCATTTTCTTATTTATCTAGATGTCTAGAATCCCTATATGCCAAAGAAAAATGCTCTGCAAATGGTGCTCAGGAATGCAACCCGGCTAGGCCACATGCAAAGCAAGGGTCCTCCCCTCTGTACTCCAGGTCATTAATCATTATTTTCATGTAAAATTTTACTATACTGAGAAAAACCTGCTTGTCCCAATTGCACACAAACAAGCCTGCCTTCCCTGGGTGAAGCAGCTACTCAGAACTCTGTTGAGGAGTCTTCCTCCAGGCAGCCCTAAACTTAAAATAGTTTTTTCTTTTCCTCTCTACAGCAATGGTCCTTTAGTTAATATGCATGCACATTTACCTTTGCAGTAGATTTCACCTTCTTTCTCAGTCAGAGTGGTTGATTCAAGACTCTTCCCACACTTTGCACATCGAAAGCAATTTTTGTGCCAGGGCTAGAAGAAACACAAATGAATTCAATTTGGAGGTGATGGTTTTGGTAACATTATCTAGTGACTGCAGCAAGGTCAACCCAAAGTAAGGCCCTGACTGGTAGGTTTCAGCCCCAAGCAGAAGGCTGGAATCTGTGTGTGTTCACCTATAAAAGGTCAGAGTTAATGAATGATAGAAACCTTGGGCTGTGAGCCGTAGCACCAAAGAGCGTTTTCCACCTCTGTCTCTTGGAAAACAGAATCATTCCTATTCAAGGCCACAGTGCCTACCTTTCCAGCTCCGATGATCTTCTCGGCGGCATACACAGAATCCCCACACCTGGAGCACTTCTCAGCTCCTCCGAACTTCTGAGCAAATTTTGAAGTGTTTGGATTTGTTGTTGGTCTGTGAGGTTGGACACTTGTAGAAAAGGGAAGAAATTAGACCCAAGTTTTCTTTGTTTTGTTTTGTTTTCCCAAATGACACTTCTGTGAGACCAGAAGGCAGGCACAGCAGAACTCTGGGACTTAGCTGCCAAAATGGCAAGGCTGAGAGGCCTCTGAGACCAGAAATGGGGAGGCAAAGGCAGTGCAGGTGTGGCCAATTACATACTAACTGCGAGCCACAGCTTGTGGCTGCAGAAAGATAAGGCCCTCAGTTCATCAGAACTCCATCATATTTTTTTCATCTCCACCAAACAATGGCAGTGCTCTTATCCCAGATTCCTGTTACTACCTGTGGCGTCACATCAAACTTTTCACACATTTTTTTAAAATTGTCAATTTAATCAGTTAAAATCCTGCAGGTAGGTCAGTTAAAATAGCTGCCTGTGGTAAAGACACTTAATCATGTTTCACAGATGGAATGAAACAGAATCCAGGACGGAGATGACAGCTCACAGGGTAGAGCACACACATGCCTGTCATGTGAAGGCCTGAGTTCAATCCAGCCACATGACCACCCCCTCCCCACTCTCTTCCTCCAGCACTGCTGGGGTATCCATGAGGCCTCCAGCACCACTAGATGTGATCTGAGATGCAACGCACATGATGCAACAAAAGAATTCAAAAATGTAACCTAATCGCAAGAAAATGAGACTAATAGAAACCAATCCTCATTTGAGTCAAATGTTAAATTTGAGTAGGGATGGAAGGGTGGAGTCTGTTACAACTACAATGAAAAAAATGGAAAAATGCTTGTATATGAAATACCACTAGAGAAATATGGTCTATTATCAAAGAATCAAATATAAATTTTATTTTATTTTACTTTTTTTCATTTTGGGTCACACCCGGCATTGACAGGGGTTACTTCTGGCTCATGCACTCAGGAATTAGTCCTAGCGGTGCTCAGGGAACCATATGGGATGCCGGGAATTGAACCCAGGTTGGCCGTGTGCAAGGCAAACACCCTACCCACTGTACTATTGCTCCAGCCCCAACAAATATAAATTTTAGATCTGAAAATTTAGCTGGAATTTAAAATTAAATAGGATGGAGATAACAAGGAAATAATAGTTAATTTGAAAGTGAAGACTCCCTTTTATTACTCTCCCACATTTTATGCTATTTTGTGTATCTTGCTATATCTGGGTGCATTTTTTTTAACCCTTTCTATAAGTTCCTTAAGTCTTAGTGGCACTGAATTCTTTCAATCTTTGCTTGTCTGAGAAGCTCACTATTCCTCCTTCAACCTGAGTGTTAGACTAGTTGATTAGAGTATTCTTCGAGGTCTTTTTCATTCAGCATTTCAACAGACATGTAAAAATATACAGTAGTTTTGTTGCTGTTTCTAATGGTTGATGTAGCTACTATAAATTTTAATCAGGCACTGAATAGTGATTCATAGTACTATCCACCATTGGGTTTTCCAGTTGTCCCTGAGAAGTTTTTCTTTTTAATTACACACAAAACTTTCTTTTAAAAATGATTTTTAAAAGTTGTTCACAATTTTATGCAATGCAACACTTGCAGCTAGGAGTTTCCTAAAAAAAATAAATCTCGCTTTCTGCCACCCTGTTAAATAAGAATGTCATATATATTACCTGTCATCTGCCTTCTAATAACTTCAAAGGGTTACCTCCTATCAAGGTAAGGAAACAGAAGCTCAGGTATTAAGTAACTTGCTGCTTGGGCTGGGAATTTGAAAAATGATGAGATGTGCCCCTGCTCAGACTTCCTGCCCACGCACTGTTGTCTCTTCAGGAAGGTGTTTAGTTCCCAGAACTGTTGTGATCACCAGGTGGAGTCTGTCCAGGGCAGTCATTAAGAAGGGATTCTCTAGAAGGAAGGCCCTACCTTAGGGATGATTAGCAAGTGATCAGGCTGAGAAGGGAGATAAGGACATGGATGGAGACAGACCAGCCCAAAGAGCTTGTCAGTTATTGGAGAAGATGGAGCAGTAACAGTGAAAAAAAACTGACTGGTCTTTGTGAACTTTAAACTGTGGCCACATTTGTGCATTTGATTTTGTTTCGGGAGAAGGTATGTATGTGTATGTGTGTTTGGAAAGGTTTGGAATAACTTGTGGAAAACAAGAATGAATCTGAATAAGCTGAGAGCAGAGTAGGAGCAATGAAATTTAACAAAGGTGAAGGTAAGCTGGACTCCAGCAAATGATGCTCACAGCAATGAATGAGTTACACTTTGTACAATTCATACCTAAGGCACCATTTCTCAGAAACTGAATATGGAAAAAAAAAAAAAGGAACAGACAGGTAGGCCTCCAGATAGCACAGACTGCAGAGGAAAGAACATTTAAAAAAGCTCAGGAAATGATGAACAAGAATTCAAGTCTCGGCTCTGCCCCTGAACTTTGTGTCCTTTATTTTATAGGTGGGACAAAGTATCTAAATTCAGTCACCTTGAGAATTGTTTATTAGGGTATAAATGTTCACTCAGTCACAATTTTAGGTATATCATAATGTGCATTCAGGTATACCATAATACTAGTTTAAGTTCCAGGCTCTACAGTTTACAGTTAAGCAGTCACTTAAGTCACTTTGATTCTAGACTGATCACCTAGTTCTCATGGTCTCAATTTTGTACTGGAGTCAGATGGGAAACATTGCAGGGCAGCTGTGAGATCACCTGATTCCATGCTAATATTGCAGAACCCCAGCCAATTACTGGGAAGAGCCCAATTAACGGTCTTGTCCAAGGGAAGGTTTTCTCGCTGTGGTATTTATAAAAGTGTCACTCCACCTTTATAAAGTGGATGTGGAGAATGCGAAGTTCTAATGAGGGAATTACTGGGTCAAAAATAGGAATTAAAAAGATTCCAAATGAATGTATGTAATCTGAACATGAAATACTAAGTGAGGTTTAGCAGACGTTTATACCATGGTTTTTAGACCTGAAATATTTTTACGCTTAATAATTTCCTGAAGAGTCAAAATAGGAAATTACTGTAATTCTTTGGTTTAAAAAAGGAAATTTCTTGATGAGACATTATAAAAGAAATACTGGAAGAATTTTCTCTGCTTAAATCATTGATGTTAATGATTTAACACTGGTGGCTCACACCTAAATATGGTTAAATTAACACAAATTGCAGTGCCCGCATCAAACTATTAACTGCATATGAAAAATGATTATCATGATGCAGATACATTTTCCTATCACTTGATTCTATAACGTCAGGTCTTCAAGTGTTATAAAATAGATGCAAATTTAAACAACTTAATTTTTCAGAAGATCAGGATACCTGGACATCCCTTGAAATGCCGTAAAATCAGAACTAGACATCACTGGATAACCAATAATCAAGAACTTACTGAGTCCAATATTTTGAGCTTAGTGAACCAGTTCACACAAGAAAATCTAAATCATTTTGTTTGCTCACATAAAGAGCTGAAAACTCCCAGATTGCTGTTCACCAAGCAACATCATTCTGACTAATGTTTGAGGGTAACAAAATACGGTTCTTACTCACCTCTCTGGCTTGATGCCCAGCCTCTCACCACGGTCCATGTTGAGTGTGCCAGCGCCCTGGCCATAGCCATAGCCTTTTGGTCCATATTTCTTTCCATAGCAGGATTTGCAGTAGATCTCTTCATCATGAATTGCCACTGTTGTGCTATCTAAGTTTTTCCTGCAAACCACTTGAAGGAAAAGAATTAGACTTTAAACTTTCTTCTTGCCAGGGTTATCATTCAGTGATAGAGAACATATTACAAAGCCCTGGGTTTGATCCCTAGCTGCAAAAATTTTAAAAAGTAAAATGTATAAATGTTCCAAAGTTACCTTTTTCCTAACAGTGGTGGCACTGACACATGACTTTGTCAAAGCACAGGCACTCATATTCCTAGTTCATAGTGTCCCCAAAGGCTAGGAGACAGCATCAGACTGGTCAGCTACATTTAAAAACCACTTGCCTTGTATCTTGGTATCTTAGTAAAAAGCACTTGCATTTTAGTATCTTGAAGCCTCAAAGCTCTCAAGTGGATTTGGCTCTCAGGCAGAGGAGTTTCAGAGATGGCTATGTTACATGAATGAAGGAGAAAACCAATTTTGCTCCCAACCCCCAATATTCAGTCTCTTCGGTCACTCATACCAAATATTGTTAATTCACAATCGAAGGGGTACCTCTGTAGCCCTTTTCTCCCACAAAAGCACCCCAGAATAAAGAGTTTCAAACCAGAACTCGAGTTTTCATCAATAGTCTCAGAGAAAGAAGTATTCATTCTTTCCCCTCGCCACAGTCATCTACAGAAGTTGATAAGTGTGTCTGAAAACTGTAGAGTGGGTTAATGTCAGCATTTGTTTTCCCTTTGGTCCCCAAGGAAAACATTCCTTCCTGATGGATTTCTTGCCACAAGACATTTCCCTGTATCCCACTTCATAAACCTTCCAAATGGCATCATGTTTTATCCAGACATTATTTCACTTTCTAAAACTTCAATTAAACTTGAGAAGAAAAAAAATGTAAAGAACTCAATGGTAGCACATAGGACAGCTGGAAATCCAAGATTAGCACAAAAAGGGCTGCTCCCCCTTTAACTTTTTTAGAAAGGGAGAAATGAAAGGAAGAAGAAAGGACCGAATAATGAAAGGAGGGCAAGATGACTAGCTAGTTGGTTGGTTTAAAATAAAGTTACGGAGTTTCTATTATCTTCAAGTTACATGAACAAGAAAACATCATCTAATCTTGGAACCTTGTTGGAGAGCAAGTACTACAGTATATTATTTACAGTTAACCTAAAACCATACACTTCAGAGGAACAAGCACTGGCAGACATAATAAATATAAAAACTTTTATTTTTAAATGCATGCTTGTCTAAAGAAAAATGGGCATCTAAGAACTTTAAAACTGCCCTTTCCCTCCCAAGGGCCCCTTACCCAGTCTCCACAGTAAAATCCTAGTACTGCAAACCACTCGTTTATTTCCTTATAAGGCTTTCCTCAGCAGAGGCAAATAGTAAAGTCTAATAAAAATGACTAATAAAGAAGTTACTGTTTAGTAAATAGTTTACTATAGTGGCCAAAGCTGAAAATGGATGAAACTTCCAGGTTAAGGACAATTCTTTGTTTTTGTATTTGTGTATCCTCTTTGTTTTCATATTCTAGTGGCTACAGATCTGCTGAAAAATAAATTTGTTTGTATCTTCTCTTTGTTTTCATATTCTAGTGGCTACAAATCTGCTGAAAAATAGATCCTTTTAAAATCCCCAAAAGGAGTTCCAAGAAATGGTTGAACCAGATCTGAGGAATGATAGCGATTATGGAGGCATATGTAGTAAGCATTCATGATAGAGAGATAGAAACAAACATATATACACACATACACATCTGTACATATAGAGCATGTGTGAATGTTGGGGGCAGGGATCGGACAACCACCCTGAAGTGCTCAGGGGACCATGTGTAGTACCAGGAATCAAACCTGGGTCGGCATCATGCAAGGCAAGCATCTTACTGCTGTACTCTCTGACAACATATTTTTATTCTTTGAATTTATACCTTTATCATCTGTTACTAATTGTTTACAAAGCTGTTCTACTATGAGGAAGTCCAAACAGCTTGAGAGAGGTGGTGCCTAGAGGGGAAAGAACATTTGAAAGGTTTTTTCCCTCAATCTTTCTTTCTTTCTTTCTTTCTTTCTTTCTTTCTTTCTTTCTTTCTTCCTTCCTTTTTTCTTTTCTTTTTTTTTTTTTTGCTTTTTGGGTCACACCTGGAATTGCACGGGGGTTACTCCTGGCACATGACTCAGGAATTCCTGGTGATCCTCAGGGGATCATATGGGATGCTGGGAATGGAACCCGCGTCGGCCGCATGCAAGTTAAATGCCCTACCCACTGTGCTATGGCTCCAGTCCCTTCTCAAAATTTCTTAATGGAACCAGTTCTTTTTAACATATCTCATTTCTGTGTAGTGCAAGAGTCGCTGTTAAGGACTATTAAGCAAGTTATCGGCATTCACAGGTAGGTTTTTCAGGTAACAAATCCTGCATTAAAGAATATTTTGGCATTTGAACCAAAAGGAAATTCTTCCTGAAGCCGTGTCTGAAGTAGCTGCCTTGCTGTCTGGAATTGGAAGATTTGGCCTTATTCAGGGAAGCGCGAGCTGGCATCGGGCCCTGCTTCTCTCGTTAGCAGGAACCAGCTAGCTTTTGAGAATAGAGACATGCTATTCTGTGTCCTGTCTGTATCAGACATTGATCATCTCCCATCTGCAAACAATCAGAAGTCTCCCCTGGCCTCTGGGATTTTCATCATCTTACATTCCTTTCTCTCAAGTTTAGAATATCAATAACTAACAATGACTGAATACTTAACTACTCGCTAAAGAGAATTTGAGCTTCTAGAAAAAATGAGCTTCTAAACATCTGAATTTCAGCTGTCAAGATGGTAAAGAAGCAAGAAAGTAGGTTTCTAGGCAAAAGGAGCCCAGGCAGAAGAGAAAACTAGGAGCCATGCTTCATTCAGAAACTGGAGTGAAGCCCAAGCTATGTGAAACTGCCAGGTACCAGACTGTGAACACTCTAGCAAAACAGGGGAGAGCAAGGTAGAGCACAGGGAAATGTCAGCTTAGAATCCCAGAGCAATCACAGGAAGGGGAGGAACCTGGGCTTACACTGCCATCCAACTACAAGGCTGAGTCTTAAAATGTCTAGGAAGACAGATGGATTAAAACCATCCGCATTCTTTGTTAGCAAAGCCTGTCTTCCCCTTTGTTGTTTCTGTGATGTCCTGGGATTGCACACTCTACTTGTGGTGCTCCCACATATGGCCATGGGGTATCATAGATTATACACATTTTGTTGTGGCACCCGGGGTTCCCAACCAGGCATGTGGGACAATGCCAGGGGTCAAACTCTTGGCTCATTGACCTCATATGTAGGAGGCAGATAGTCTACTACTGAACCATCCCATCTCTGCAAAACCACAGATTTGTCCTTAGGAAGATCAGGGGGCACTTCTGACCCAGTTATTGCAGCCAAGACTGAGCAAGGAGGTACTTACTGCAGAGAAAGCAGCAGCGGTGGAAGCTTCTGCCGTCACACTGCACCTCCTCAGCATGGTACACGGTCCGCCCACAGGCCCCGCACTTGTTGCCACCTCCCCAGACAGGCATTCTGCAGAAATAAAGGGTTCATTTCAATATCCACAGCCCAGACAAGAGATCTCACAAGCTCCTTGGAAGGCTGTTGGAATGCAGGGTACAGCTGCACATTTTGTTTCTTTATGAATTGCTCTAACCACAACTTTAAAAGGTTCACATTCCTCCAAAATAACCTCATCTGGTCTCCCAAATTGCAGTTCTTTCATCAGGAAATCCTGGCTGGCCATGCACACGTTTTCAAAGACCAAAAGCCCGCATTCAGTAAAACAATACAGGTCGCCAGGCAGAAAACCTGCCATACCGCTGAAATCCAAGGGCAGAGAAAGGAGTGTGGGGAGGGGAAATGCCAACACAGCAGAGGCTTTTATTGTGTTTAATTCAGTGAAACACCCCACTCTCTACCCATTAAGCATATAGTGGATGACACTTTCAAGGGAGAAAGCACGTTTTTCATTTGTCAGATAGTTGTGTGAAAATCTAGCACACAGAGTTGTCTCCGGCTAGTACAGGTGCATGAGGGAAACATCGGTGGCCACAGCAGCCAACCAGAGGGCTCCAGTTCCAGTTTTTTTATGAATTGCTTCTCAAATTGCTTCTCATTTTATGAATATGCTTCTCAAATGCCACACCCAGCCAAAATTTAGTTTCCCCCCTGTGGTCAAACTGTCAATTTACATAGAACACACTACCAAGTTCCCTATCTGGCCAGATGCATTCTTTGTAGAGAACATTAAAATAATTTCTGAGTAATGGAGCCCAGCATGGTGGTGGAAATGGAAGTTTAAATCCTAGGTCTTCTTGCAAAGATTTCTCCGATTTTCTGTGTAAAATACCTAATTCTGGTGCCAGAGATAGTCCAGGAGCTAAGGCACTTGCCTTGCATGCAGTGACCCTGGTTTGATCCTTGGCACCACATATGGGTCCCTGGAGCATTGTCAGGGCATAGAGCATGCCTGAACATGGAGCAAATAGTAACCCCTGAGCACTGCTGAATGTTGCCCCCATTACCACCACCCTCCGTAAAAGTGCCTAGTTCTGAATAGCCAAAGTGTGCAAGATCCTTTGCCAGTACAGATTATCCTGCAGACAAGGCCTGTTGTACCTGGCCTGTCCTCAGTGCTAACTAACACAGTGAGAGAATTCTCATCATTCCCAGGCCTCCCTTCTTGTGAGTGGGATTTGCAGGCCTTGTCTGTTAGAAGTCTCCTTTGATGAGCTTTTTGACTTTCTAAAAAATAGCTAGTTAAGCAAGCAGAGACCTCCAGGTCTCTAAAAAAAAAGAGAGAAAGAGTGATCTATCAAGCAAAAGAATATCCACCTTTGGGTCCAACCTATATCACTAGGAACTCCAGATCCCAGCAATTCCCAAAAGGAAGATTCACAGAATTAATCTGTAATTTATAGAGTGCCAGACAGCAATCTCTTACCCCTCCTCTGATATTACTTCAACTAGATTTTTCTCTAGTAAAGCAATCATCTCTGAGTCTATGTACTTTATAGAAATATTTAATTAAATGATACTTATTACTACAGTCACAAGGGTGACTCAAATAAGCATTTATTTAGGAACTCTTCTAAAGTCCTATGCCACAGCAATCGAGAGCATGATTGGTGGGCTCATCTTAATAGACAATCAGAAAATCTGTATGTTAATATTAAAAACATAATATCGTCTGAGAAGTATTGGTGTAACACTGACTCAGCCCCTAGTGCCAGGGCTATGACTAACTTATAGCAATCAAGTCATCGCAGCCCCATTCCTACCAGGTTTAGGACTGGAATAAAGACTCAAGTCAGTTCAGAGTTAAACCCGGGCTTTGGGTTGGAATTTGGTGAATGTCGGGGTGGAGTTGCTAGCAGCTGTCAAGCCACTGTAACAGGGGACTGAAGCCAGTATGAAAAAAGCAGAGGAGGGCAGGAACAATAGTGCAGCAAGTAGGGCACTTGTCCGCATGTGGATGACCCGGGTTTGCTCTCCAGCACTACAGCTGGTCCTCCTAGTCCCGTGATCCCTGAGTGCAAGAGTCAGGAGTAAATCCTGAGAACTGACATGTATAGACCCCAAATGAACAAAAAGAACAGCGAGACTAGTGGAGCGGTGCCTCTTATGTTGTGCTGTTTGGTTCCGTGAGATCTGCTAAGTCATTTAGCCTCTACTCCTTGAAACCATCACCACAACCATATACAGACATTTAAACATACCAAGAACACTCAACAGCTATGATTCATTCCATGTAAAATGCCTCTTTCAGATAGGAACAAAGCCACTTTAAGGATCCAACAGTGTTGCCTGGCTACTGTGGAGATAGTCACCTAGGAGCACTATCTAGCAACAAGAAATGTACCTGCAAACTTGCCCCTAAAAGTTGCATAAATCACTTGTTTGTTCATTACAGCACTCTTTACAATAGCCAGAATCTGGAAAAAACCTGAGTGGCCGAGAACAGATGACTGGTTAAAGAAACTTTGGTATATTTACACAATGGAGTACTATGTAGCTGTTAGAAAAGACAAGTCATGAAATTTACATACAAGTGGTACTACATGGAAAGTATCATGTTAAGTGAAATGACTCAGAAAGAGATGGATAGACATAGAAGATTGCATTCATCTAGGGAACATAAAGGAACAAAATAGGAGACTAACACCCAAGAATGGCCAAGATTAGTACCAGGAATTTTGCTTCATGGCTTAGAGGCCAGCCACACATGCTAGGGGGAAAGGGAGCTCAGATAGAGAAGGGAGCACCAAATAAAGGGTGTTGGGAGGATCCTCCCAGGATGGGAGAAGTATGCTGAAAGTAGACTATAGGCCAAACATGATTGCCACTCATTGCCTCTTTTGCAAACCACAACCCCCAAAGGAGAGAGAGAACAAAAGGGAATGCCCTGCCACAGAGACAGGATGGGATGGGGGGATGGTGGTGGGAGGGATACTGGGATCCGTGGTGGTGGGAAATGGGCACTGGTGGAGGGATGGGTATTTGATCATTGTATAACTGAAACCCAAGCACAAAAATTTGTAAGTCTACAACTGTAACTCATGGTATCTCACTAATAAAATTTTTTTAAAAATTGAAAAAAAATTTAAAAAAATAAAAGTTGCATAAATCTCTCACTCTCTTGCATGCAGACAGGTGCTCCACTGCTTGAATCCCCAATGAATCTGAGCCTGACTTGGAAAACAGAGAGACAAAGTTTGTGCTCTGGTGGGCTGCGTGGCTTTGAGTTTGGGTATAATTGGGGGAACTGAAGTAAAACGAATGTTCCAGAATTCTCAGGAAGGCAAAAGACACCCACTGGAAGTGCCCTCGTGCTTCCTGAGGAAACTACAAGCCAAATCCAGGCTTGTAACTAATGACTCTGCAATTGCTTAAAGATGGATTCCATATATCAATAGCTCATCTGGCTTTTAAAATACTTTGTTATTGTCAAGGCATGGTTCATCACAATGGAGAGTGTACTGTTCAGTATCTAGAATCTCATATTTTCAAACATATTTGCCTTGGAACAATCACCAACAAGGAGCCAGATTTCTATCAAGACCATTACTCTCCTGCACTTGGTTTAAAAATACATTTTAAAAAACAAATCACTTTGTTATTTCCTCTCCATTAAAGAATGGCATGGATTTTTTAAAAGGAGGAATATCTTAACTTTCTCAGAGTACTTGAAGTTACCTTAAATTCACCGCTTGAAGATCAATTTTAAGTTTTATTATACAATACCACTCCAGCAAAATGGGAAAGTGTCATGCTTTCAGGAAATACCCCTCAAAAGTTTTACAACAGTCTGTAAGTTTTTCTTCAAAGGTGGGGACCACATGTCTAATTCTCTACCATCCACCAGCATACTTGGCATATTTCTCTTGTCTTAAGTAATCTTCTTCTTTTCAGCTATCTTGTAAAATCTCAATTAGATCTATACTTATCAAGACAAAGGTAGTACTGTACTTGTCACATTTTTGGCTTCTAAGTAAAAATTTCAAGTCATTAACTTTTTAAAAATTCCACCTAGTTTAAAAGCACTGCTAAGGGGTTCTGAATAACTGTCTCTGAGTGCAGGTGATGCTGGGTCAGAAAGAATATCCTGACTGGGGCTGGAGCAATAGCACAGCGGGTAGAGTGTTTGCCTTGCACGTGGCCGACTCAGGTTCAATTCCCAGCATCCCATATGGTCCCCCAAGCACTGCCAGGAGTAATTCCTGAGTGCATGATCCAGGAGTAACCTCTGTGCATCGTTGGGTGTGACCCAAAATGCAAAAAAAAAAAAAAAAAAATATCCTCACTGATTCATCCTAAACTGGATATTCCTTATATTATTCTCTATTTTGGAACTTGGAACTATTTCAGAATGGAAAGAGAGAGGGGGAAAGAAAGAAGGAAAAATAAAAGAGAAAGACGGAAGGAATAGAGGGAGGAAGGTAAGGTTAAGCTACGCCTGTGTTAATTTCACTGCTACAGCACTTTACAATCTAAGGCCTATTTTGCTCACCTGTATCTTGGTGAAATAGATATTATAACAATAAAACCAGGTAAGCAAAGACTGTCAGATGCCCAGTAACTGTTAGCCTGCACCTCACTCTTCATCCTACTGTCACTATCCTAATAGGAGAACCCAGCATCTAGCACTCACTTTACATAATCTAGAGTAGTGTTTCTCAACCAGGGGGCATTTAACTTTCTGTGCCCCCCAGGATATTCCAAGGGGGGTGGGGATAACAAGCGAAACTTGCATGAATGCAGATCAAGGAATGAAACTAGAAGGTCAACCAGCAAGGACTATGTGGACCCCAGGAAGGAAACAAAGTCAGACGGGGACCACAGCTGGAAGAAGGTTGAGGAACACTAGTTAAAGCTATTTGTTGAATGGGTGGAATTGTGCCTGGGGGTTGGCAAGGAAGGTGTAAGTAGTTTAGGTGCTGCTGAAGAACGTACTTTGTTTATGGACTTAAGGTAAATTTGGGAGGTCACTGAGTGATTTTTTTTTTCCTGAAGAGGTGTCAAAAGGACCA